TAGACGCGATGTGGTGATTTGAATCCATTCGCGTATTTTGAAAGAGAAAGAGAGAGACTGCGCGTGTGGTGATTCACTCACGCTGTTTGTGAAATTACGTCTCACACAAGGTTTTCAAATTACTTTATAAGTTATTTAATGAAAAAATATGAAGGTGAGGTAATTATTTCACCCGCGCCAGACAGAGACTGAGACCGTGCCGCTGCATGTGGTGCCAAACCTTCTCATGGCAGCGTCATCAGCTTGAGCATATTACACGCAGAGCTAGAGGGAACATTGACTGTAAGAATGTCATAATTTTAGAAAATTGTAATATCTGTCACATAATTTCACTTTGTATAAATCATAACTTAAATGATAATTAAAATTAAATATGTATAATAATATAATTCATTATTTATAAATTATATTTATATATATATATATATTTAAATTATTTATAATAAAGCAAAAAGGCATTTGAAATGTAGAAAAAATAAATGCTACTCGAAATGATAGTGTTGCAAATCAGTCATGTTATGAATATAATATAATATAATATTTTTAGATATTATATTTATATTTAATTTATTATTTATAATATGAATAATTAAAATCTATAGCACATATGCATTTGAAATGTAGTAAAAATAACTTCTACTGTAAATGATAGTGTTGCAAATAAGTCACGCTATGCAAAATGTCTATATTTACAGAATCTATATTTAGAATAAGTACTTCTGTGAGTTGCTTATATTTTAATATGACTTAAATATAATATAATAATACTTATGAGGGACCATCACAGCTCCAATCCTAGAAGGCAGCTGCGTTTGTAGACGGTAAACAGCAAGGCAGCTTACTCAGCAGTACAGAGTCTGTATTTACTTTAAGAAAAAATATAAAGCATAATTACTTATATGAATTACTTATATTTTAATGTATTTAAATGTTATCAATTAAACTTCACTTGAACTGCTAAGTAACAGGGCCTATAAAACATCATTTACATTTATATTTATTCATATAGCAGAAGCTTTTATCCAAAGTGTCTTACAAATGAGGAGAATACAAGCAGAACAGATTCATCCTATAGAAAACAAAATCAGACATGCTACTAGACCAAACTTCAACAACAAGAAGAGGAAGTGCATAACAGCAGATAGTAGAGAAGATTTTTGAGTGCAATTAAACAAAAGGTTATGAGTTAGTTAGTTAATTAAGGTCTTCATTATTTATGCTCCACTTCCCATCAGAGTTGAGGGTTTATTTTGCGATAATGATCGTCTAACTGCACATGATCCCTTACTGAAAGCCACTGTTTCATTAAAAATAATTGTGTACAGAACATACAGTACTAAGAAAGTACAGAAAAGTCTATCTTTTTTGTACCAGTAACTTTAGTCGCGGTCTCCTGTAAACATCACTATCAATTATTGACTGATTCTAACATAAGAAATAAAATCTGCTGACATGCTTCAGCAGAAAATGTGTGGAAGGTGCACAACCCTCTATTTCTGCCGTACCCATGGTTCTCTGAACCTCATTTCAGTGAAATTACTTTTTCCAATCCAGGTGTGAAAACCTAATTTGGATGCCTAATTTTTGCTGAGTAGTACTCGTTCTACTGCTGTCCGGGTCATTGGCTCTGAGATCTTCTGCTATATGTAGTGCACTATGTATACAGCGGGTAAAGACACACACGGATACACAAACATCAACAAACCTCATGTTTGAAATCGAGCTGGAAGTTGTTTGAACATCTGAGCTGTTTGCTTAATGAAAAGGAGCTTTGACGGTCTTACCGCTGTGAGAGACACAACATCTAACAGGGGTTTTGTCAATTTGCGGCTGCATTTTAACACCCCTCGGTGTTTTAAAGGAACAGAACTAAACCGTAGGAATAGTTCAGAAATTCTGTCATCATTTACTCACCCTCATGTTCTTCCAAACCGGTTTGACTCACTTGCTTTGGTGAAACACATAAACAGAAGTTTTGCAATACCACTGAAGCGTGTCCACACGGCTGCAACAATTGTTACATTTATACATAAAATAAATATTGGATGAAAAAATTAGAAATTAAATAAAGTGAACTAACTTTAAGTATTAAAACTAGTACTTAAATTGAAATAAAAATAAAAAGCTATGTGTGTGTAGTATTTATATTTCAGTTTTAGTTATAATATATATATATATATATATATATATATATATATTGCATATATATTTATATATATTGGGGGATTCCGTTTTTTTTTTTCAATATCTTCAAGTTAAACCGAACTTTTATTTTGGACGGTTGCCGTGAATACTTTTACATTTCTGTGTGTATATGATATGAGGATAGTTTTACTCAAATGAAACGGTTAAATGCTCATTAAGTGACTCTCAAAGCAGTTCTGGAGATGTTGTTCATGTATTTATGTCCTCATTTTTTAGTTAGGTTATTTTTTATAGTTTTGTTGTATGTTTTAATTAGTTTTAATTTATTTCTGTTTTATTTATAATATATATATATATATATATATATATATATATATTGCATATATATTTATATATATTGGGGGATTCCGTTTTTTTTTTTCAATATCTTCAAGTTAAACCGAACTTTTATTTTGGACGGTTGCCGTGAATACTTTTACATTTCTGTGTGTATATGATATGAGGATAGTTTTACTCAAATGAAACGGTTAAATGCTCATTAAGTGACTCTCAAAGCAGTTCTGGAGATGTTGTTCATGTATTTATGTCCTCATTAGTGAGACGGCAGACATTAATATCACCGGAAGCGTCACGCGCGCTCCAGTACGAGTAGTAAACAAAACGCGCGTCTGTCCCATTCACGCAGAATTCATATTTAAATAGTCATTTTGCGGCTTAATATTTACAAATACTAGTGGGAGTGGGAGTGTGCTCACTTGTGTGCATGCATCAGGGCGCGATACAGAGAATATATATATATATATATTGTAGGGCTGCACGATTAATCAAATGCAATTGTCATGCGCATTTTGTTAGTAAAGCCGGTTCTGTAATCAGCAGTAAATCACCACGTGCTTTCAGATGGAGCAGCATTTACTACATAGAGCCATAGTTCACTGACAAGTTACGCAAAAAAAAAATCGCAGACGATATTATTGCGCGATTATGAAGTCTAAGAAATCATTCTCGACAATGACAGCTGTTTGCATAGCTTCTCAGTGAACTACGGCTCTGTGTAGTAAATGCTGCTCCATCTGAAAGCATGTGAAAATACCACATTTAATAACATTTTTACTCCAAACTCACTTCATAACGTCAGTCGAGTGTTTGAAATAAATCCTTCTGTGAGATGATGTGGCTTCTTAAACAGAATAAGGCACACAACATATTTCATAGTATTCTAAGCAGTGATAAAGGCATTGCAAATTTTAATTGAAATATTATAATTGAAAATTATAATAATAATAACTCAGATAAACCATATATTGTCATAATTGTGTGTTTATTAGTAACGTTGAATCAATAAAAGCAGTTAAATCTTCTGTTTACCCAGCTACCACTATAGGCATTTCCTGGGATTCTTCTGCGAGGCGTATTTGGAGTTTCTAAAGTTACCTTTCTTATAGAACACGTCTATACCTTGTTCTTTTATTAAACAAACTAAATAGCCTTATGTTACATGGTCGCGCTCTCTGTATCACGCACAGCGGAGTTCCGCCCCAATGCGCACACACAAGTGAGCACACTCCCACTCCCCTTAGGGCAAGTTATTTATTTTTCATTGGCTCAAGTTAAAAAATATAGATGTG